GTAAAAATTGAGATATCTTAACGAAACTTTGTATGTGCGCTTCTTTCGGGCGTAGGACGGATGGTATTGAAAATAGGCAAAATCGGACAATAACCACGCCTACCTCCCATATAACGGTAATTTTCCGAAATACGAAAACTGCGATATTTTAGTAACTACTTATACTTAAGATTATTCACTCAAAATTGATATTTACAACAACACGCCTACCTCCCATATAACGGTAATTTTCCGAAATACGAAAACTGCGATATTTTAGTAACTACTTATACTTAAGATTATTCACTCAAAATTGATATTTACAATAATTTTTAGACGAAAAATCAGAATATTATACATTTTTGGAAAATGGGCGTAGCCACGCCCACTTATGGATACATGTGTATATCTTGGTAACCGCTGCACCAATTTCTTCCAAACTTGGCACAGTTGTTAGTCTTGCTACGGCATACCAAATGGCCGAAAATTTTTAAAATCGGACAATAACCACGCCTACCTCCCATATAACGGTAATTTGGAGAAATACGAAATCTTCGATAAATCTTTAAATATTAGGGCTAATTTGCTCAAAATTGATGCTTGCAACAATTCTTTACCAAGAAATACGTTTATGATAAAATTTTGGAAAATGGGCGTGCCACCGCCCACTTATGATCACATATATGTATCTCGGTAACCGTTCTACCAATTTGTACCAAACTCGGTATGATTATTGTGCTTGCCACATAGAATTATTATTATTATTATTGTTGAGGATAGAGCACTGCGACCTTAAGATCTATTGTACTCCCTTCATGGATTATAGTGTGTCTATTCATCCAGTATCCGAGAGAAACTTTAGTATAGAACCTAAGACTACGGATTTCACTTCGCCTTTGGTTATCAGATGTTCACCCAGGTGCCTTTTGCGTTTATGCATCAGTGCAGGGCATTCTTCTAAGATGTGCTGTGCAGTCTCGTTTTCCATCCTGCAAAATCTGCATCGCTCATGCGAGTAAATTCCCAGTTTAGTCAGGTGATAGTTCAGCCTGCAGTGTCCTGTCAGGATTCCTGTAACAATTCTTAAGTTATTCTTTGATAAGCTCATACATTCCTTGAAGCGTTTTAGGTTATATGTTCCTAAAAGTGCATTGGACTGCTCTAGACCTGGTAGGTTATCCCAGTAGTGATTCCTCTGAGCTTCTTCCTCTAGCCGAACTAGTTTAGAGAGTGCCCCTTTTCCCAGGCCGCAGAAAGGTTCTGGACCGGTGAAAGGGATTGATGCACCGTTCTTCGCTAGTTTATCGGCAATCTCGTTTCCTTTAATACCAATATGTCTCGGAATCCAGAGAACCCAAACTCGATTGGTCAGACCAAGAGTATTCAGCTTGTCGAGGCACTCCATCACCAGTTTAGATGTTACCTGGTGAGATCTGAGGGCCTTGATAGCCGCTTGGCTGTCAGTCAAGATCGCGATGTTCTGATTCCGATAGTTTCGCTTGATATTAAAGTCCGCGCATCTTTCTATGGCGTATGTTTCAGCCTGGAAAATAGACATATGTTTCCCCATGGGTTCCGAGTATCTTATCCTCGGTCCAATTTCACCTACCCCGGTACCCTCGTCGGTCAATGAGCCATCAGTGTACCAGGTAATCATGTTTTGGTTTATCCGATATGTCTCGGATATGCATGCCCAGCTCTTCTTATTACTCAGTTCAGTCTTAAACCTCTTTGTAAAGCTGAACCTCGGATGCATGGTATCCCTCGGTATTGCAATTTCAGGGAACTTATTCGTAAGAATATCTAACTTCCCACGACCAAGACACTGCTGCCCCGATATTGGTACCAGTCATCCGTAGTAAAGCTCTTTTCGCCTGAGTCTGTATGTAAATATGAAGAGGGGTAAGATCTAAAAGAACCTCCAAGGATGCGGTTGGACAGGTTCTCATGGCTCCCGTTATGCATACGCATGCCAGCCTTTGTATCTTGGAGAGCACTTTGATTGCTCCAAGTTTTGAAGTTCTATCGGCCCAAACGATGGCTCCATAGGTTACCATGGGTCGTACTATTGTCGTGTAGATCAATCTCAGTATCTTTGGTGTGCAGCCCCAACTCTTACCTGCCATGGACCTACACGTCATAAATGATCTTACAGCTTTCTTCGCAGTTTCTTCTACGTGTGCGTTCCAGAGTAGTTTTTGGTCTAGTATTACTCCTAGGAATTTAACCTCTTTTTGGTACATGATGTTGGTTCCATCTAGCCTTATCGCTTTTAGACTATCAAGTTTGTATTTCCTTGAGAATGGTACTATAGTGATTTTCGCTGGATTTGCATTCAGCCCCACTTGGACACACCAGTTTTTGGTTACGTTCAGTCCTAGCTGGATCCTATCACACAGGGTGTTTTCGAATTTCCTCCTGCATAATATTACAATGTCGTCGGCGTACCCCTGGCTGGTTAGTCCAGTATCTGTTAGCTCTTGGAGCAGTCCGTCGACGACTATATTCCATAATAGTGGAGATAACACTCCACCCTGTGGACAGCCCCTTGTTGTTCCGGCAACAACTGTATTATTCGTACAGGTTTGTATTTCTACCCTTCTGGTGCGGAGCATGCTATTAATCCAGGCTACGAGGGTATTGTTTACCCCCCTGCTAATCAAAGCACTGTTTATTGCAGCATGTGAGGTGTTGTCAAACGCCCCCTCGATGTCCAGAAAAGCGCATATAGCAGTCTCCTTATTTTCTAAGCTATCTTGAACTGCGCATGTCAGCGCGTATAGGGCGGTTTCAGTAGAGCGGCCCGCAAAATATGCATGCTGGCGCGAATTCAGTGGATAGTTCAATAAGACCGAAGTCCTTACATAGTTATCTACTTCCTTTTCTAAAGCATTTAGTACAAATGAGGTCAGGCAGATCGGCCTGAAGGATTTTGGATGAAGTGGGTCCTTCTTCCCAACCTTCGGGATGAAAACAACCTTCGCTCTTCTCCACGCATCTGGTATATAACCCAATGCTATGCTGCTTCTAATTATTTTTAATAGCGGTCCAATCACGCATTCTAAGCCCTGCTGTAGCATGCCAGGGAAAATTCCATCCGCTCCCGGTGACTTCAGTGGTTTGAAGGTATTTACCGCCCACCTGAGCCGGGGCTCGGAGCATATTTCCTTAGCCACTAACCAGTTTCCTCTGCTTATTTTACTGCACTGCTCAGTCCGATCTGTTTCGGAATAAGATGTAGATCCTGGTAAGTGAGTAGATTTGCGGACGAAATACAGTTCGTTTTTGCCATTACCTTAACGAGTTTTGTAGCCTCCGTAGTATCTTCTATGCTTTCACAGAAGTTCCTAAAGCTTAAACGCTTAGATTCCCTTATTTCTTTGTTGTACAGAGTTAAGGTGTTTCTGTATTCTGACCACTCCCCCGTTCGTTTTGCTCGATTGAACAGTTTCCGGACTTTGGTTCTGAATTTACTTAAGTTGTTGTTCCACCAGGGTACATCCCTGGAGGAACGTACCTTACTTATAGGATAACTGTCTTCATATGCGTCAATGAGTAGTTCATTGAAGCGCTTTGTAGCGAATTCTAGTTCTTTTTCGTTCCTGATCTTCTGACCTAGCCCCGGTTGTACTACATTCAACCTCAGGTTGTCTTTGAACTTCTCCCAGTCTGTCTTCCTGCGATTTCTTAAAATTCTATGTATAGGAGGCGTTGCTTCAATGTCAAACCTTATTATTCTATGATCTGACATGGAGGGTTCATTGGATACTCTCCACTAAGGGTGGGTAACTCAGCAAATTTATAGGAGTTGACTCAATGATTCCAACTCACTTTAAGGAGTCAGCTCATTCAACTAACTCATTTGACTCTTTGTATGTTACACTCATTCGTATCGTAGACTCGTTTTGAGGCGAGATGAGATAAAACAAAACTTTAAAGTGGGCGGGGTCAGCTCCTTTCTACTGATTTGAAAGGTGTAATTTTTTTTGTGTGCAAATTAATAGGGCGGTGCTAGGGGGAGGGTAAAGGTGGAATTTTCAATATTTTCTAAAGCTTATATTTCGAAATCTATTGTACCGAATTTCAAAATGTGGATATGGTTGGAAAGGCAATTGATTTGATATGCACATCTTTATATATCTTACATACATACATATTTCGAGAAAAACTAAAAAAAAACGAAATTATAAGAATTTGACATAACACCCGCAATACAAAATACATGTGGTTGTTGTTGTTGTATTCTTGCCACCACCTTGTATAAATTCGCCTCGTGCAAAAACAAAATGCAAGACTTTGCCATGCTAAACACTGTGGCGAAGCGAGAGAGTTATATGGACAAATATGAGCCACTATGATTCAATTGATTCATGTGAGCCCTACGGCTTCAACTGAGTTACTGAGTTACATTTTTTTTGGACAGGGACTCTGAGTTACCGATTCACTTATAGGAACCAACTCAATAACTCAACTCTGAGTTGAGTTACCCACCTCTACTCTCCACTCTTTCACTAGCGCTTTCGTTTGAGTATTGCCTATGGTAATATCAAGGACCTCTTCCCTTGCGCGGGTCACAAATGTTGGTATGTTCCCAACATTAAAGATTTCTAATTTATTTCTAAGGATAAATTCAAGAAGGTACTCACCCCTTTGGTTGGTGTCACTGCTCCCCCATGCCTCGCTATGCGCATTTGCATCACACCCGAGTATCAGGGGTAGCTTCCTAGCCTCGCAGTACTTCACCAGTTTAGTGACAAGCTCTGGTGGGGCGTGCGTGTCATCTCCTGGGAAGTAGCCCGATGCAGCTACGATGTCCTGGATGGTCCCGTTGATGTTGACTGGGACTTGGACCGCTACTAGATCCCTCGAGAGGAAATCTGAAAGACATATATGTTTCAAGCTATTAGTTATTAACAAGCACGCCCTAGGATTCTTACATCTAGTATTCCAAATTACCTGCCTGTTCTCTACTGCCAAGGTCCTCGCATGGTGTAGATTTATTTGTGCAACCTTAGTGCTGGTCATCGTCGCAGTTGTTGGCGTTCATCGTCTTCGTCCGTTGTCAGAGTTTCGTCAAACTCGGACAAGGTGGCTCTCTCCGAGTCGTCATCAGCACAAATGGTTAGTAGCCCGAGGTCGAAGGCGTCTATACCCTCCATCTCATGAGGTAAAAGACTGACTTCCGCTACTACTGCGCTCCTAGCTGCTTCCACGGCTACCGTCTCAGCCACCTCCTTCGGTAATTCCGAACCACCCGGTGGAGTATCTGGCTTGGCTATCTTCGCCTTCGGTTCCCTGCCCTTGTGCACATGCACTAGAACACTACCAAACCTGTATCGTAGGATGCAGTTTTTCTTTTTGATAGCGTCCAACGACCGGTCGTCAATCCCGATCGTTAGCAGTTTGCCCGTCTTCTCATCATTGCTCCTATAAACCTTCCATAGGTCGGTATGCATTCCCTCATTTTGTGCTATAATGAGGTTCAGCAGTTTCTGCGTGTCCACTCCTGCAGCTTTTGGTAGGTAAGTAGTAATTACGTGCACCCTGGGTATGTTGTCCCCATCGCACGTAGTCAGTTCCGCACCATCCCAGTAAGGCAGTTTTGGGACAATTTCGCGCAACCATTCGGCTGATTCTGCATCCAAACAGTCGACCAGTATAAGGCCTGGCCGAAAGTGGATGCCGTCGAATTGGAGTATTGACCTCCAACCCTTCCCCATCTCCTCCACAATGGCGTCCTCAATCTTTCCCTGATCCTCACGAGTGAGTGTACTCTCAGGGAAAGCCTTCGGCAGAACTGCCAGTCTAATGCGCTTAGTGGCGCTAGCATAGCTAACACCCGGCTTCCTGGCCCCTGCCTTAGGTTTTGGAGCCACTGTTTCAAGACGGCTCTTCTTCTTCTCCGGCTTTCCTTCAGGAGGACTAAGCTCCGCAGCCACCCGTTTACTGTCACCGGGTTTTTCCCGATCTAGGGGTGCCTTTTTCTCCGGATTCCCCTCCGGAGTACTAGCTTTCGCAACCACGTCTGTGCTGTCACTGGACTTCTCCCGGTCCAGTACTTTTTTTTTAATCCAATTTAATAGTATCCAATTAGTAATCAAAGTTAACAGTTTGTATATTTTTCATTATGAAAAGAAGCATTTCCGCATTATCGGGCAACAACCTATTTCTATTTTCAACATAAAAGTTACCCGATGCACTAAATACTCTTTCCGAGTTCACTGAGGAAGGTGGCGCGTAGAGATACTTCATTGCCAGTGTAAACAAATTTGGAAATTCTTTGCGGCTATACTTCCACCAAGTTAAGGGATCCTCTTGTCTGGATATAAGAGGTAGCTGCAAATATTTCTCTATTTCTAGTTCATAAATCGCTGCCTTTTTTCTTGTACGTTCGCGTCCTTGTCTACCAATCGTTTGGCTATCCATATCACTAGAAACACTAGAATCAGCATCATTTCCTCAAAGCATTGCCAAATATCCTCGTGAGCTCGATCTTCGATGGAAGCTTTCACTATAGTTCGCCATTTTTCATATGATTCAACTGGTTTCTCCATGCTAACTGATTTATAATTTCGAACTAGTTCATCAACAACCCAGTTTTTAGTTTTATTGGCGTCAGAAAAAAAAAACGAGTTTTGAAACGGTGCGAATCTGTTCCGAAAAAATTACAACAATGCCGCAACTATTTATTGAAACATTCACAGCTCTTCATTTCGTCGTGCCGAAATTGCAGACCTACGCGTTCGGAAACGAAAAAGGTTAATAGGCGGGTTCTGTATAATTTAAACAAAAATTAACGTAAGAAAACAAAACATCTTGATTGTTCAAAAGCAAAGAATTTGATGAAGATTGTTTTTTGTTTGTTTATAAGATGCCATTTTTCACTGCGATAGCATCGCACAGATGTGTGCGTAATTGTGTTTTCGAAGTGGTAAATTCTGTAGCATCAGAAACGGTGCGGAGGTCGAGGTGAACTCGAGCCGGCAAAAAAACAATATTGTGAAATTTATTAAGGGCAGCAGTATACCGGATATCCGATCGGTTATCCGGTCTATCGGTTATCCGGCAAAATCTATATCCGGCACATCCCTAATTATTTGTTTATATAAGTATTATGTGTTTTTCATAAGCGTCAAACAGAAAATAATAACCGTATATGGTGTTTAAATTTAAATTGCAGACAAACTGGACCACTTAATCAGATTTTTTTTAATCGGATTACCGATTGATGATTAAAACTAATTAATTGTAATCACAAACGACGATTAAAGATTAAAAAAATTTAATCATTAATCATACAGATGATTACGATTAATTAATGTTAATCGTTAATCGCGATTAACATTTTAATCGTTAATTTTTAATCGTTAATCAGATTAACATTTTGCCAACACTGATTAGAAGTAAAATGTGTATTATTAGTTCTATGCGAATTTGCAATATATTTGGTGTTTTAATGGAAATACTGAACAATACATAAAAATATGCATTTTTGATTTAAGTTATTCGTCATTTCCTGGAACAAATCTAGAATACCGACCGTTCAGCTATGCAAAAACGAAAAATGCAGATAAATATAACTTTTTATGCTCATTTCAACCATGCCAAAATTATTGTGCGCAAGTAAAAAATTAGACGTTCTAGAAAGTTAAAGTTCAGTTGTTACTTATTTTAAATATTAATAACTTTTGAACTATATAACCGATTAAAAAACTAATGACGCCACCATAAAGATAATTAATTTGTTCTTCAGCTGATGTACATAATTTATAGCCTTTTATATTTTTAAATCAAAACCACTAAAGAACGAACAAATTTTATTTTTTCATGAAATAAAATTTTTGTGAAAAAACTGCATAATTAATGGTAAAGAAATTTATATTATTTAGAAAGTTAATATCTTTAATTCGATATTGCATACTTTATCATGATCTACTTTTGGGTTTCAACAATTTAGTGATAATAAAAAATACAAATAAACCTCTAATATCTTCTTTATTTTTTTGGTATCGTTGAAATCAGCGTAAAAAGTTCTATCAATCGGCATTTTTTGGTTATTTTATAGCTAAACTGTCGCTATTCTACACTTGTTCTATAAAATTACGCAAACGGAGGTGATACCAACGAATATTTAGTAAGAAGAATTTTTGGTTTTACTACTAATATCACTAGAAACTGTAGAGTAAGCAACATTCTGCACAAGTAAAGTATTATTGAATCATGGTTTTATCCCTAGCAACGAGGGTTTACTTTTTAAAAACCTTGCGCGCTTCGCCGGAGTAATTAGTTGCATGTTCAGATCATACATTTGCTGCAAGAGTGTCATAACAAAAAAATAATTAAATGGAGTTAAGGTCTACCCAGAATTGTAGCGGGTGACGGTAAAGTGGTCGTCGGTTAACCGCCGTAAAAATTAAAACTCACAAAGGCTTATGGAATGGCGGCGGCATCGTTTTTACAGCCGACGTTTTTCGGTTGATTTAAATTTATTTTTAATTTTACCGTCCAGCGGGGACGGAAGAATGTTGATTGAGTGTTGATTGTAGTAATCTTTATTATTTTCAAAAGTTTGGCAAGGGTTTCATCCACTTTTATTTACAGCAAATCTACATACACGCACGTACCGAAAAATATTAAATATTTGATGATAATTTTCAAATCAAAATGATAACTGACGGAAGCCGTCGTGCGCCGAAATTGTTAATACTCTGTCGGATTTCACTGTGGCAACTATACAGCTGATCACATACCACCGACACTTTACCGTCGTCCGCTGTAATTCTGGGTAGAGCTTTAAGGGCCGGTTGTTCAATGTCTGATTAACACAAATCGGAGGTAGAAGCTCCGGTTAAGTACACCGACTGCTTTATCGATCACATGTTATATGCATGATGTCGAAATCGTCGATAGTGTAGTGGTAGTGATAACCAGACATTGAACAACCGGCCCTAAGTATGCAGCAATTACCGCTACCGGTTCTTCTATGATTTTTAAAAATTCCATAGCTTTACCGATTACAATTAGATTACTATGAATTCGTGTTTATATGTGAGTATATGTAAATTCATAGCTTTAAAGCTATTTTTCGAGTTTTTGATTTTTTTGAATTAGGACACTTGCCGAAAATGTACTTAACAGTTCTTTGTATTGCGCAGTAAAAAATCAAATCCTATTGCGCTAAGGTATTTAACAATATAAATGAAAATGCAGCTCCAAATTTTTTATTAAGAAAATAAGTTATTTGTGTACTTGATAACATAACTATGTAGATGTAAACAGTTTTCAACATGGTGCTTAAGCAAGCCGAGCACAATGTGTATGTAAAATTTGGTATAGATTGGTGACGTGGTACACATATTCGACACGAGCAGGGCCGCCAAGAGAAATTCTGGGCGCGGTACTAAATACGCTTTCATGGAGGGTGTCAATCCCCTTAATCTTCCCTTTATTTGCGCTATAGGTTCTGGCAACGCTGCTAGTGGCATAGAATCAACCTACGTTATAATTTTTTTTTAAAGAAAATTGTGATTTTATAATTTTATGTTTCTAGGCGTTTTCATGGATGTTTTGTTTTGTGTGAAATGCACACAATTTACAAGTAAACATTCTACATTTATCCTAAAATTTTGCTGTCTGGAAGTATAATGCAAGCGACTGCAGATAATAAACCAACCAAGCTATAAATATTGAGCGCACTTGACGAAGAATTGTGTAAAAGTACTTGTGAAACAAATGGTGTAGCCATGGCGCCAATCCGAGCTATTGTTGAACATCCGCCGACTCCAACAGCGCGTAAATTTTTTGGATAAATTTCAGGAGTATATATGTATGCAGCTTGAAACAGACCGGATATAACACCTCTGGCAATAAATAAGACGGTAGTGGTGTAGATGCGGCTAAAAAAAAAAAGATTTGTTAGAAATAGAGTAGTTGTTTTGTGAAATAATAGGTATTTATTTTTGATTGAAAAATCCGAACTAATGAGTCCTCTATACAAATATAAAGGCAGTTTAGTCTTTGATGCGAAAATGCGAAAGGCAAAAATTAGCGTTTGTTTTGTTGCTTTGGAGGAGAAGCTCGGCGAAACACTAACATATGTGTAAGCGCCAATTTATTATTATTTATTGCTTTGCTGTGCGTTTGTGCGATACGACGCCGTAACGATGTCATATGTTTGTTGTAAAAAACTGCCGATTTTCGCACTTTCGCTCAAACACACACAGTTTCGCATTAAAAAGTGAAAGTATAGTGTTTTAATTAAATGTTTGAACTTATAAAAATTTTATATACTACGTGTTCATACTTCACAAAGAATTTCTTTCCATTTATGCACATATGTTTGCATGAAATTTAATCATGGAAAAAATATAGCAATTGCATATTCAACAACATTGTCATTGCTGTAAGATTAACACCCTTATTCTAAAACCCGAATTTTCGTAATTCGTAATTCGTAGGTATGCTACGAAAAACGCAAAATCGACATGCTGCAACCCTTGCGGAACAGCGTATGAAGGAAAACAAAGCGGAAAGGAATTGCTTGTTTATTGTAAAATTGGTTGATTTTACATATGTATTTTGAGGAAAATCATGGATTCTGTTGCATTTGCAGTTATAGCAGCAGAGTAAGAGGGCGCTATGGCAATGGATTCACAAAGGTATGCGGAGCTGTCGGGCATAGTAACCATGGACACATCTATGTCAGTTTCTGGTTGAATTGTTGAGCCACAAGCTATAACACCTCTTATGCCTGCAGACCTGGTTCCCAATCCAGTTAATGCAATAACAGCTTCTTCCAAACCATTGAAAATATGCATTTTGTTAGGTCCATCACCTGGTCGCGCTTGCATCTTCCTTCGACCAAGCTTAGGGATTACAAGCTTTACTAATGAAATTCTAATTTTTTTTGTTGCCGGAGAAGAGGGCGGAAACCCCTCTTCTACTGTGAACGGTATATAAAATTTATTGTGCAGAACCCACATCGAAATTTACAGAAAAAGTGCATGGTTCAAACCGAATTTATTTATAAACTAGAGCTCGGAACCTTTTTTTTTTAATTAAAGTTTGATCCTTTGACTACACGTGTAATTTAAAGTTTTTAGATTCGGATGATACGTTTGGATACAACAACCCAAAATCATTGTACAAATAACTAAACCGTACCCAAGTTTCTCGATAAAGGACAACAAACAATCTTTTTTGTTCGTTCATACAAATCAGTGGATAAAAATATACGTAATTGCGAGAGGCAAATTTATCTGTTAAAAAGAACACCACTAATATTTTCTGCAAACACATCGATTTACATCTTTTTGCTTAATTTTTATCTCGCTTCCGACACAGAATTGTTTTCGTACAAAATTACGCAAAAAAACTGTCAATTTCTTACACGATCGTTTTTCGGCATGCCATTGTTATGAATTTCGAAAGTTCGAAGATACGATTCGGATTGCAGCATACCATTTCTACGATTCGTAGTAAATTCCGAAAACGAAAGTGTTGCAGAATAGGGGTGTATAAGTTCATCGCACTTAAAAAAGTTGTTTACTATAGCGTAAGCATTTGTTATATCATTAATGTATGTATGTATGTATTAGCGAACATTTTGGTTGAAATTGTAAATTGCAATTCAACACTTAAGTTCATCGCAGTTATTTGTTTACTAAAAAAGTCATTCATTAGGTTCATTCCTTATCTTTTTGGACTAAAATCTGAAAAGTGTCAAAATGCCAGAGCGTAAGCAAAATGCGCTCACTGAAAGAGAATAACAGGAAAAGTAAAGGAACGCAAAAAACCAAATTTTTAGTCCAAAGAATGGCAACAACAAAACTAACGTCAAATAAGAACAGAAATGTATGTTCAAAACACATTCACACAAGCACAAGCACAATAAACACTTACTATATCAATTATTTTTTGCCTCCTTCCAATTTCAATTCATTTCTTTTACTTTTTAGATTATTCTCACTTTTTTCGTTTTCTTTAATTTCCGTTAATTTAAATTCAGTTGAGTTTGACACTTTTCAGGATTTTGCCAGAAAAAATTCTTCTGACTAAATCTGACTACTTCGGACTGATGAGAGTCACTCTCACTGACTGTTGCTCTCTCATTTTTGCTGTCATTTCCGAGTTAAGGAACGCTTTTTGGACTAAATCTGACTACTTCGGACTTTTTCTGACTATTTCTGGGAGATAAGGAACGCTCCTATTATAGAGTCAGTATTTGTTGCCTCATTAATGTATGTATGTACATATGTATAAGCGAACATTGTGGTTCAAATTGTAAATTGCAATTCAACACTAACTTCAACGCACCTATTTAATGCATAAAAAACAATTTCCGTCTAGTTATAAAATGCAAGTTAGCCCTTAAGGCAAGCTAAAAACTGTAGTCAGCACTTATTTAGTATTTAAACCAACAAAGTTTCAATAAAGTTGCGAGGAATTATTTACCCGTAACCGAGTTAAGTCAGTCCTTGTCATTCTCTGATAGTAACCAAGTTTCAAGTTCTTGCGTTATAATTAAGAAATTTGTCCTGTGATACCGCCTTGGCAAACATATCAGCAAAGTGTTGACTGGCAAATAGCCTGTCAATCATTCAACAAAATCCTTATCCTGGTGAATCACCTGAATAAGCGAAACTCAAACTCCTGCAAAACAGCTGAACTAAACACAAGATATTTCAACACATACCAACTCAACGCGAACAATTTCGCTTCACTTTATTTTTATTAGATTCAACACAAAATTTTTGTTGTACATTTTTTTATCCTTACAATTTCAAGTAACAAGGCGCATTTAATAAGGTGGTATTAGTCGTATATAAGTAAAAAATTACACTAAAAAGTTATACGCACAATGACGTTATGTTAGATGAATTATGCTGGCTTGTGTTTGCTTGAAGTAGAAGTCCGTGGTTCTTACCTACTTTGTTTTTGTAGTTAGAGTATTCCCTTCCATGTCCATCCTTAATATATAATAGCTGTTGTCATTTTTCTTCTCGTACAGTAGTTTTAATTCGTGATATCAACCTTAACAATAACACGGTGCTACAAAAAAAGTCTTGAAATATAAATGGTCCACCATAGCTACAACCTACACTAGGTTTTTAAGGGTGTATTTCATGAAATTTTTTTGTAGCACCGCGTTATCAATCCGCCGTCATTTTCAGCGAATTCAAATTGAAAAATTTTTCCTCGAAGATCTCAAATGTGTCGTTCTCTGCATTGAATTTCATTGCAGCTCTTTTGACACGCTCATCGTAATAAGCATATTTCTTACGTTTCGTTGGCGCAATAGCCCTTCCAGATAGATGATTTTCCCACACCGCGCCACTGAGAGATTGTTCAAGTATTAGGGTGTTGATGAATTTCCCCATTGAGGCATGTGACTTGCTGACACGTTAATTGAAAGCCGAATAACAATTCCATAAACTGATGTCGTAGAGGGGTTTTGTGCGTATATTTCCTTTTTTTTTCCTTACCCACGTGCGTTCAAAATACTCAATCATCGGTTGTAAATCACCACTTTCATTGGCAGCAAATTCTGTTATGGCGTTTGCGTAGTTTTCGTCTGTACCATAGAGAGTTGGGTGGCCAAGGAATTGAACGTCCCGATAAATACATTACTTAAAGTGAAAAAAACAACCATGAACATCTGCATCTGGGAATATTTTACCTGCTGCTGCGATAAATACTTGATCAAATCACTTATTATAATATCTGGCTTCAAGTGTGGTCGTCCCATCGTAATTTAGTTCTGAAGTCATTGAAAACGACGGGCCACAGTTTTCAATTTGTTATCTTCATTATCTAAACGCTTTGTCGATGACGACATGATTTTTTTGAACGCGGCAGCGATATCATGAATTTGTATGAGTTTGACATAAATGAAGAGGAAGAACCTTATCTGTCACCGGAAAAATAGAAATAGATCTTATCTGGCCACAACCACAGCCGTCGCGTAGCCCGCTCGTCGCCAAAATAATTATCTACATAAGAGTACGTGTTAAAAAAAATTTGACAGCTGTGGTCTGCAGCTTATCGTTTTCATTGTGTTTGGGCTAATACTTGCAAGAGCTTTTTATATAGTTTCTAGGATTTTGGTGGTAAAAGCGCATAAGCAAATGTAATTAATTTGCCATCTACATTCCCGTGGAGAGTAAAGAGCTGAGAGAAAATAATTGTCATTGCTTTAAATGTGCCATCGCACTGCCATATTTTGCAATTTGCTAAACGAACCAGAATTTTATCTTTTGTGTATAGGAGAAACCTGATTTTATCATTTCCCTCATCATGATAAAGGAATTTGTCATCTTTCTCGCTGAAACAATATTCTTCCGTAATCTCGAGTTTTGCTCCTGATTCTGGTGTCTAAAATATTGGATTTCAACGTGTACGCGCACGCTTTTTAATTTTTTTTTTTAATATTTTATGGCCTTAATTTTGCTTATATCTGGTGCATGAATGTGCTCGCCTACTGTTTTGATTAAGGAGCCTAGATTACTTGTATAATGATTGATAATTGGCGATTCGTGTTGTTTTTTTAACGATTTTCATTTGCAAATGTTATTTTACCTGTTTTAGTTGTATCTGTAGTTTGGATTAAAGCTTTACACATCCATACAGTATGATATTTAGTGCATCTCCATTTTACGTGTCCATGAGAAGATTTTCTCAGTAATCCATATAGAAAGCCATCAGTTGATTTTTTGCCTCGTTGGCTTTTGATAAACTCGAGCGGTATTGTAGTATTTTACGCGGCTAGTGGCGGATCCAGCGGGGGCTTTTGGGGGTTAAACTACGTGTCAGTCATTGGTGGACACACGGGCGGTGTTTTAATATGGCGCATATGTATGTATAATATGGCGTCTATATATTAAAACACACCCCGTGG